TACGTTGGTGGGGACGTGGGGACGCCAGATGGTTACGAGGGCGCATTGAGATCATGAAAAGGGCGCCATTCTCGTAAAAGGGTGCCGAGTGATTGAAAACGCTATATGTGGTTCAGGGGCGCTGAGAGGCCAGAAGGGCGCCGAACAGTCGAGGGATGCACGGTGAACAGAGACCTAAGGACGCGAGACGGTCAGGAGGGCGCCGTTAGACCATGAGAATGGCGCGGTGCTGTCAAAAGTGCGCCATTCTCCCAGAAGGGCGCCGAGTGATTAAAAACGCTATATTATCCATGAACGCGAGACGGTCAGGAGGACGCCGTTAGAGCATGCGAAGGGCACCGTACTCTCGAAAGGACGCTTGCAGCCTTGTAAAAGACTTGTGGGTGCATTTTCATCATTGTGTGGGCATACATATTTCAGGATTGTGGGTGCATATGCCCCCACAAAGAGATATAAAATTACACCCCTGCATACGGGGGTGAACTGCCATTTTCGTTTAGTAAAAAATAAAAAAAATCATCGTGTCAGGGCTGTGACGAAAAATAAGTGGCCTAAATCCGATGAGAAAACAGGATTTGGGGGTACCCTAGGTTTGGCTCCTTGAGCCATGGTGCCCCCCCCTTGTCTCAAATCGTTCCGCCGCCTATGCTCCCATGTATTTGAATAGGCTCTCGCATGCGATTTCCTGAACGCGGAAAGAGTCTGTTTCAGGCTTTAGTCTATCCCAGAAACAAATACACCCTTCGCATTTGTTCGCGGCATTCGTGATAACTGCGGTTCAAAAGCATGGGAACACAGCATAAACACAACCAGTCTTCCAATGGGTATTGTTGGGTCCAGATGGCAGAAAGATGGCAGACAGTTTTTGAAGGTATAAAAGGAACACTCCCCCAAAAGCAACTCCAAAATCCAAAATATTCTATTCCTACTTTTTGATCCTTTTTCAGCTCTTGAAAATACTTCACCTTTTATCTAACAGAACTTGATTGAGTGTCTTTCAAAGCCAGAACATTGTAAAGGTAGTATAAATAAGGGCTTCGTGTGCTGCTCAGCCAAAAAAGTTTACAATTTGCCTGGAGACAGAGCCAGTATGCCAGCTTATACAGTTGGAGACAGCGTAGACATTTTTTTTCACCTCTGGTAAGGTAAGCGGTGCGCCAGTCTTGCAATGGAACCGTATAACAAACTGAACAGATTACAGCGGCAAGGTCAACTTTTAGAATTAATCCAATTGTGTGTGTGTTTTCCTAACAAATAACGTCTTGAACTTCATGAATTCAATGCACCATGAGCCATCGCAATACATGCTCCAAATGTCGAGTGCAGTAAATCTCGATTACTGTTTACTGCAAAAGTCATTTGAAGCACCACTACGAATTTTGGCGTAACATTGCTTCACGTATTTCACCCCAACTGTTGTTTGAAGCACAGCCCAGTAACTCATGTGTCTGTAGTAACTCATTGGCAGTCTAATGGCGTTTACGGCATGTCTATTTACCAGTTCAGTTTTGTGACACCGTTCAGCCCTGTCACGAAACAGCCAATATCGATGTCCGGACACTCATTGCAGTTAAGTGGGTCTCAATGCACATCACGAGACATATCAGCGGCACCCCCTAACCACTTACTGATAGCACAGAAATGCTGTATTTTTCCGCTTGAGTCAGAAGTTGTTTGCTGAACGCCCGGCTATCAACCGGCTATATCCACTTCTATCATTCGCACAGTCAACAGGACTGCACTGGTCTCACCGTCCTACACTAGTCTGATTAGCAGGGGCACCAGCGGCCTAGCAGGGGCACCAGTCATCACATGACTAACCAAAAATAAAGAAAATCAAAATAGAAAAACTGAAAATAGGGCACCACCAAAATTAAGTGGCCAAAATCCGTTGAGTTTTTAATTTTGGGTATAGGTAGGGGCACCACTTCGATTCATGACCCTCCCCTTGGAGTTTTCCCGGATCCCCCCCCCCCTGGTACTAATGCCAACTGAGCCGGTCCCGTAGCTCAGTTAGAGCGTTGGACTCCGCGTGGTGAGAGCATGCGTTCCCGGTTATGACAGTCCGGGTTCGAAGCGCGACGGGCGCTCGACATTTATGGGCCTCCTGACAGGTATGGTTGCGGTTGGTGGCAGGCCGTAGCCAGGCGAAGTCAGCGAGGGGACCGGCCGTGCGCGGCTTTGTGCGCACGTTAAACTTTGGACTCTAAATTCTGCCATAGAATCGGAATTGCGCGATCGGAGGGTAGAGGGCAGGGTCATCGCAACAAGCTTCGCTTAGCGGTGGCTCTGTCCTTGTGAATCCTTCCCATCAAAAGATTCGGACTAAATTTTAAAAAATGCCCCTTGCAGGATTTAACCCGCGCCCGGCTGGGGGTCCTGGATTTCCACGCCCTGCTGGGGGGGGGGGGGGTGTTTGAACACCCCCCCTTGTAACTCGGCTCCTGGGCCACGTAGCGATACGCGGAAGGCGGCGTTCGAAAGAGCGTCAAAAATAATGACGAAATCACTTCGGTCAATTTTTTGGTCAGGTCAAAGGTCAGGTCACCAGAGGTCATTGAAGGCAAAATTTCGCCGATTTCCAGGTCGAATATCGAAAATTTCCAAGAAGCCAACGCATAACTCGGGAACCAATAGAGCTACAGCGCCGCGGAAAAGCGCATTCGATAGCCCTATTAACGCCCTTTCCAATTAATTTTCTCAGATTTGACCTAACGTCAACGGTTTTGCCTGCAGGGGGCAAAAACTGCAAAAATAGCCGATTTTTTCGGAAACAGTTTTTCGGTAATAACTTTTGACCCAAGCCTTGTACGAGCTTACTTTTACCGGCATCGTGTTCCTCTCGTCAAGACGCATCGAATGAACTATAACTTGACCTTGAAAGGTCAACTTGAAAATTTGACCTCAGGTCAAGGTCATGACCTGACCGGAAAGGGTCATGTTGCATATCAGTCGATCCGTATCGTCGAGCTGAACACATCTAAGGCGTTTTCATCGCTCTAGCATGCCTCTATCAAAAGTTATTTGCGAAAAACTGTTAGATACCATTCGTGACCTAAGATGACCTCAGGGCATAAACAAGGGTCACGGACACCATTTTCATGTTCAGTGTGTCTAAACCACTTGTAATTCAGTGTTTGGGAGTGTTTATAATGTCTTTCGTCCAAAAGAGGCGCATTTCAATTTTCTCCCATTGACTTATAATGGGGAGGTCGCAAAATTGACCTGACCTTAGGTCACCGATATCAAAATTCCGAGACATACATTTTATAGATACTGTTACCCTTATCAATCGCTGAAAGTTTCAAAGCGATCGGTCACTTGGTGTAGCTATGACAGACATTGAAACTTTTTATGAGGTGAGGTCACTTCAAGTGACCTGGTGACCTGACCTTGAATGACCGTGGTCTGAAATTTTCACAACATGTGTAGAATTGATGTATGATAAGGTGTACCAAAAACGGCGGCGCTCCGCGCCGCCGTTTTTGAGATATTCGCGAAAAACCACAAGGGGGGGGGTGTTCAAACACCCCCCCCAGCAGGGCGCGGGTTAAGGGGGCACGGTGCCCCCCCCCCCCTCCGCCGCCTATGCTAGTTGCAAGGCTGATTTGATCCCGCATAGTCAAAAGGTGGGCTACTAGAACCGAAAATTGCTTTGTTTGTAAAGAAATATGCAAGTTGATGGCAAAAAACGCCTGAATTACAACATTTAAAAACATTTTGAAGGCAAAAGACTTCAGCTGTAAGGATTATAAGGCCTTAAAAGGTTGGTACTTTGCAGGTATCAAAGAGGTTCCACCGCGAAAGTCCCGTCGTGAAAACGGCCAATATGTACTACAGTCTGGCAAACCTGAGAAAGAATGGATTTAAAGTGCTGCGGCCGTTGATGCATGTGCGTTTATATCGTGAGAGCATATTTTCTGTCACAACTTTTCGCACACATTTTCCGGACCATACATTTCAAGTGATCAAAACACGTGCAAACTTATTCAGGCGCTTTAACTCCGTTCACGTAAAGTTCAGGTCAGGGTCATTGACCCTGACCTGTATCTCTCCTATATGTGGGTGACATGCATGTGCCGGTGTCAAGGTCACGTAAAGGTCAGGCCATATTCATTTACCTTTGGTGAATTATTTCGATGAATTGGTTCAATTTTCCAGTTTTTGTTTCCATAGTGGTTTTTGGAGCTGATTTCGAATTTCGCACCATTTGAACATTTACTAAGTGGTTTTGGTACCTTTGTAACATATAATGAAAACCCCCATAACAACCCCATTTTACGAAGTTCTAGCAGGTCCCGATTTTCCCGACTTTTGGGTCAGTTACCTGACCTGGAAGGTCATAAATGATCTATGTATAGGACCTCAAAATTGGTTATCACTGGTTTCCTCTTGTCACGGGCAACACGCTCGTTTTTTCCGCGTAGCTCTTTCTCGATCAGGGGCCGAACGACAGGGGAGATCCAACCGACACCCCCCCCCCCCCCTCTACACGTTACAAGCTGTGAAACGCCGTACACGGGCGAGATTTAAAATGACATGTAATAAACTGAGCTGCATTCAAACCTTAGTTTGGCATTTCAAAACTCGATCCGCCTTTCAATCAAGGCATCCCGCTGATATGTAGATAATGATAAGCCTGAAGCAATGACATTGTAATAGCACGTTGAATTGAGATGGAAACGAAATGTCTGCATTTGTCATTGGATGTAAGCGACGTATAAATGGCGTGTTTGAGCATCATTATGCATTCATAGGTCACTGTTTGCTTTGCGTTTTAAATCCTCTTGTGGATACTGATCCATGGTCCCCTTTTCAGCATGCCTACTACAAACGGTACATACATTCAGTACATACATACGTTTTAAATACTCTTGTGGATACTGATACATATGACTAGTCCCCTTTTCAGCATGCCTACTACATAGAGTTACCGGTCCCCACTTACGGGTGGCATTCCAGTTGCATAGTTCAGCTCCTACGTGGCGGGATGGCTAAAAGATACCATTAGTGTAGCTTTGCTACAGCCGCTGAAATACGCCTTATGCATCATTGCATTACACGTAAAGACGCCTGAAAGTGGTAGCTACCAATTCACAATGACCTCAACTGCATGTGTCGAAACTGCAGGGTTTTTGTGCTGAACATTTAGCAAACGGTGCAGTGGTCTTAAGCGCTGGCGACATAGATGCGGCTTAAACACTACCTTTGTCGCCAATGAGCATCAATTTTGCAGAAGGGCGACATAAGAAAGGAGCTTGGGAATCTGCCGCCCCATTGGCAGCCATGGCCGGGCTGGGAGCGGTGCTGCTGCTGCTCCTGGTGATGTCAGCGGCGGCGGATCAGTACTTGGACCGAGCTTCTCCTCAAGGCCGGGCTGTTCAGACCGTCAGAGCCGGATCCAAAATCCAGTGTAGCCTGAAATGTGAAACAGAGCCTACGAATCAATGTACCGGCTTCGCTTACGATCCCGATGACGGTACGTGCCGCCTGTTCTCCGGAGACTGCCGCGGTCCGGCCGTCAACAGCTCTCAGCAGACCACCGATCACTACATGGCCAGAAACACCTGCCCAGGTAAGGCTGTTTCACAAACATGTTTCGCTTTCCTACGTTCCGTCTTTTCTATCCCCAGGATATTTACATCCCTCTCCTACACGCCCCGTGCCCCAGGCTGGACCGGGCAACTTTGTCCCATGCGGGTAGCTCCACCCCTGCAGGAGCAACAATCTTTCACATAAGGCCTACAAGAGTGTCAGCTCCATTTAGGGGTCATTCAAGCATAGGTCAGGCTCAAGGTCAGGTCAACCGGGTAGGCACATATCCCCGAAAATCAAAACTGATATTCGCAGCCTGTGACACATATTTTGTGGGTAATTTTGGGCGTAGAACACGATGGTGACATTCATTTTATCATATGTGTACGTGTTTGGTTCAAAAAGTTCAATTTAAGAAATGTATGTATCATGGTCGGGAAGTAGTCACGAGAAATTGCCAAGATTCAGTTCAAGATTTTGTAAAATCGGAACGACAATCAATAATCGAAGATAGTCATTTGATTGTTCATAGTATTGGCAGTCTAATGGCGTTTACGGCATATCTGTATGTCTATTCTGTGATTTTATATGATTTTTTGAACACATGCCTTTTTGGGTCGAAAACTAAGAAATCATGACGTCACTAAAACCTCGATATCTCAAAAATTTCCCAATTGATTTATTTTTAAACTTTGTCACAATAAATTTCAATCCATTCCCACAGGTACCTAAATTTTGGCGCGCCTGCAGCGCGCTGTTTTTATGGTATAGCTCGGCGAAAAAGTGAGGGCGTCTAACGCCCCCTCCCCAGCAACTCGTGGGTTAAGAAAAAAAATTGGCTCTTAAGATCCGTTTGTTGAGAGCTTTCGGTGCTGTTTTCCCCGTCTTTCTACGACCATCGGTTCGGAAGTTAGACAAGGGGGCAGAATTTGCCCCCCCCCCAGCAGGGAGCGTGTGGCCGAATAGCCCAGCGGGGCGTGGGTTAATGGAATATGACCCAACCATTTATCCCACTTCCAAGTCATTGCCTCAGGAAATCTAGTGCTGTACTCAATGTAGGTATGTTTATAGTGAGTGGAAAACTGTACAAAAAGTGAACTAAAAAAGATGGGAAAACAGGAAAGGGGCCTGCATTGCTTATCACCATTAGCCATATGCGGGTTCATGAAGTCAAAACATTTATACTTGTGGGAGTTTTTTTGTTGTTGTTGCAACTGAACACCTGGGGCTGTCAAAGACAGAAGTGAAGAGAGCCAATCCTTGCTATTAATTTCTTGTTTCAGGAACGCATTCGGACCGGTGCGCCTGTCCGGCCGGCTTCAGCCGCTGTGCAGGCCGCTGTCTGAGGCGCCTGGGCCAGACCTTTGGTTTCACCAAATCGGCAGACCGGTGTGCCGCCATCGACGCCCACCTGGCCGTGCCCCGCTCCGACGACGAGAACCAGTGCGCCATGGATGTCGCTGTGGCCGCCGGGAAGTCCGTCTGGCTGGGCCTCACCGACGTCGTCACCGAGGGCCAGTTCGTCGGCGCCGACGGCTGCGGCGTCGTGTCGGCCTCCGGTCCCCAATGGGGCATCGGACAGCCCAACGACTACCAAGGGCAGGACTATGTTGGAGGACATCCGATGGGATGGAATGACTTCAGAGAGACCGAGCCCTGCTACCCGCTGTGCCAGCTGCAGTTCTGCTACCAGCCCGGCTGTGTGTGAAGGAATTACTTCACTTGCGGGATGCAAAAGAAGGAATAACTAATAGACCAGCGGACTGCAGCCGGCAACGTTATTTCGCTTTTTAGCCCTACTTGGAAATTTGGAATTACTTTACTTTACGAGGCACCGTAATTAATCAGCAGACCGCACCGGAAATGTTATTTCATTATTTTTTTTTAGTGACATGCCACTAGTTAGGACAAGACACATCATATTATATAGGGTTGTTAAGAATTGAAACTTTTCAAAACGACAATGTGTTCAAGTCAGGGTTCATACCTTATTTTATTCCCCAAACCGAATTGGCTCTAACGTTTTTCGACTTAGCACGCAGTTTAGCAGCGAATAGGGCAGAAGCTGAAGCGGAGGAAATCGAACGTCGCCCAAGTAAGGCATGTAAATTATCACCGAAAAAAAAATACATGTAGGTACGTTCATTTTGGAACTAGTTATTAGGACAGTGGTGATGTCATGTTGTCGAACTTGCACTGCAATGTAATGCATAACTGCCATAGACAGAACTGCTCACTCGATTCTAACTTCGGTGACAGTGAAAAGCGAAGTTTTCTTGAAATTCGTTGACACTTTGTGCTATCGACATTGGGTGCCAGCTGCCACGAGTGACGTCATCTTAGCAAAATCATTTTTGAAGACACAGTTTTCATGTATTTACCGAACACAATTTGAAATTAAATTATTTAGCGTCAAGAAATTCTTGGCCAGACGCTGAAGTTGCAAAAGCTCACGAGAAAGCATCGATAATTAAGTTGAATTCAAAGCATTAACCAACACCCGCCTGGGGGTGGGGGGCGGATCCGAACCCCCCCCTCCGTTTTTCTGGAATAACTCACAAAACTAAACTTCGTATACCTTCTCCCCCTTCAATTTAACGTCTTTTGTCAAATATTTATGTAAAATTTTACAATTTTTTTTAGATGCATCTATTTTATTGATGAAACTACATCGTACCGGGACGGCCCGGACCACTTCTGCGCCTGCCATCTATCGGGCAGTGCTTGGAACTACAGCGGGCGCCGGCCGACCGGGCCGCGCGGCGCCGTTACCGGGCTATGGAGGCGAATGAAGTGGTGTAAAACCAGACGAATTTTACGCTTGTAAAGCAAAAAACTAAAAATGTACACTCACCACGGAGTTCAGGGAAGTACTGGGAACAATATGGATATAATTTAAAGCTAGTGCGATGCGAACTGTTGGTTCCCTAGAGCAGTATTTACTTACTTGTCGGAGATAGGACTTTAACATTACCGGAGCTTCTAAACTGAGCTCGCAAAGTACTTGCTTGTAAATATTTCCATTTAGAGGCAAAAATCTAAAAATGTACAGTCAGAGCGTTGTACCCAATACTTCTAGGTACATAATGAGCATAAATTTAGCTTGAAGTGTCATCACACATTGGTTCCCAGTCCAGTTTAAAGCGACACTTTGTGCCGCAGAGCCTATCTCTTTCAGTGGATGGCGGCTGGCTGGCGGTTGTAGTGGTGGACAAGACAATTATTGAGTGAAATGAAATCGTTTACTTTCATAGAAGAAGTTTGAAGAACTCGTAATAATTGACAAATGACCGTTAATTACAGTGTATAATTTAAAGTTCATGGCAAATGACAAACTTTTAAACAATGATTGTGAACCCCAGTACCGCTGCGCGAGTAAGCAAGTACTCGACGCACGGTCTGCCCGCCACTTCTGAAAATGGTCCGCGGCCGGCCGGCCGCGACCCGACACGTTGCTTTTTCGTCAAAAAATGGTAAATGTTTGAAAAATCGCTAAAAATTTAGGTTAAGAGCAAATTGCAAATTAAGGACATGAATAGACGCCGCTCAATGAGTTATTTAAAATGGTTATCCCGTATTCCCCAGAAAATGCGTTTTTTTACCCCTAAAAAATAACAACTATATTTTTTGGAAAAGAGTAACTAAAATCTAAAAAAACGGAAAATGTTATAAAGCTTTATTAGAACATAAGATATTCCAATTTTCAACTTTCTATCTTCAATTTAACCCCCAAATTGTAAAAGCAGCTCCAAAATGTATAGGACATGGTGACGTCATAAGCATTTTCGTGATTTTAGGCACTTCTGAAGATCGGATGTGAAAATAGAAGGCAACATTGGATTCCTGGGGCAAATATTGTCTAAAAAATAACATTTTTTTTTGCGTGTCAATAAAAAAAACCGCGGCGCGTAGCACCGCGCCGCTTGTGGTACCTTTTTGTACATCAATTTTGGACAATGTGTGAATTTTTTAACCCCAGGTCATGTCAGGTCAGGTCACCAGGTCAAAATAATTGACCAAGCCTAAAAAAGTTTGCAATCTTCTCCAGCCTGCAGTGTTTGTCAGAAAGGTTTGAAACTTGGTGGATTGCATGATGGTATGGGCGCCTAAAATTTGTAAACCTCGGATTTTTTATATCCGTGACCTAAGGTCAGGCCAGTGGCGTGCCGCGCACCAAACACACCGGGACGGGACATGGCTGCTGGCTGCCCTGACTAACTCGGACTGACTGAGGTCCACCGACGCCGCTGCAGATATACTTATCGAGCCCCGGCGGAAGCCGAGATAAGAGTGAACGCTCCGTGGCTGTCAGTGTCCACCGGCGGCGAGTGACACGCTCTGTCAATATTATGTAGAGCAGGGGGCTGTCATCCCGAGCTTTCCTATGTGCCGGGCGCCCGAATGTTTAACATTACCCGTGACGTCACCGGCGCGTACACTTGTCAGCTGGCCTTCCCCGCAAGTTTGGCCTTAAATACGATTTTGAGGGTCACGGTTGTAAACAAGTTCCTTTCCGGAAACGTTCCGGAAACGCTGGCAACGTTGTCATCCTTTTACTTTCCGGAAATTGCTTCATTACTACTTTGCGCCTAAAATCACTTTAACCCTCGCCGGCACAGGGAGTTGAGTTGATGCAACCCCCCCCCCTAAGGTTTTTCGCGAATAACTAGCGTAAAAAGCGGCCGATCGCGACGGAACTTTCAGTACCCTCGCATTGATCAATTGTACACCTATCCTGAAAATTTAATGACCCTGACCCAAATGACCTTTGACCTGTGACCTACTTTCCGAGACCATATTTGGCCGGAATCGCGATTCGGCGTATGTCGGCTCGCATTAGCCGCGCGTTTGCAAGCTTTTCGTGGTTTCAAACGTTCAAACATGTGATTTTATGTTGCTCTTATGCATTAGGGTGGATGTCAAGGTCACCTGAAGGTCAGGTCAGGTCATCGACCTTTGGTGACCTCGGTTTACTTTTTCGAGTTTTACATCTTCCTAGGCCAGTTTTTGGAGCTGATTTCGAATTTAGCAACCATTTGAACATTTACGAAGTAGTTTTGGTGCCTTCGTAACATGTTACGAAGCTGTCAGAGGCGGTTGACACGTATTACGAATACCCGTCACGACCTCTACCGGTTGACCTGACCTGACCTGACCCGACCTGGTCTAAATGCTTAAAGACATCATCTCTGATCAAAACTAACACGATATTCGTGATCAGCACCCCGGAGAACTCCATAGCAGCCACACTTTACGACTTTCTAACAGGTCCCGATATTCCTGATGTTTGGGTCATTGACCTGACCTAGAAGGTCACCCGATGACCTAGGATCTTAAAATTGGATATCATCGGCTTCCTCTCGTGACGGGCAACACGCTCGTTTTTCCGCGAAGCTCTAGCTCAATCAGGGGCCAAACGCGAGGGGGGGTCGTACCCCCCTTGTGCCGTCGAATGACGCAAAATGGCCTGTGCCGGCGAGGGTTAAGCATTGGCTACTTAACGCTTTCCTAATTGTCAAGTGTTGCATTGTCTGCATGGTGAGGAGAACGCTTACCGGTCAGAACTGGCCGGTGTGTTGTGAGGAGGGCGCCGACAGGTCAGGAGGGTGCTGTACGATGAACGGCGACGCTGACTGGTCGGGAGGGCGATGCATGGTGATGAGGGCGCTATGCGTTGCAAAAGGCGCAGGCTGGTCAGGAGGGCGCTGAACGCGAAGATGTCGCCGACAGGCGAGGGCGCTCACAGGTCAGAAGAGCACTGCACGGTGATAAGGGCTGCGACAGATCTGGAAAACCGCTGTCCGTGAAGAGGGCGCCGACAAGGCAGCAGGGCGCTGTATGGTGGGGAGAGCGCCGACAGGTCAGGAGGGCGCCAACGGTGAGGAGTATGTTGTACGATGAGAAGGGCACTATACGAGTGAAGAGGGCGCTGACAGGTCAGGAGGACACTGTATAAAGAGGAGGGCGCGGACAAGGTGAGGAAGGCGATGTACGGTCAGGAGGGCGCCGACAGATCAGGAGGGCCGTCTGCGGTGAAAAGGGCACCGACTTGTCAGGGCGGCGCTGAACGTAGAGGGCGCCGGTCTGGAGGGCTTTGCATGGTTAGCAGGCCGCTATACAGTGAGGAGGATGGCGGCAGGTCAGGAGGGCACTGTACGGTGAGGAGGGCGCTATAAAGTACGATAGGCGCTGCCAGGTCAGGAGGGTGCTGACAAGTGTGGAGGGCGAGACAGATCAGGAGGATGCTGTGTGATAATGTTAATGAGGGCGCTAACTGGTCTGCCCGGAGGGCGCCGAATGTGAGGAGGGTGCCGACAGGCCAGGAGAGCTCTGAAAGGCGAGAAGGGCGCCGACAGATCAGAAGGGCGCCGACCAGACAGAAGGGCGCTGAAGGTGAGCCGAGGGCGCAAGATGGTCAGGAGATTGGGAGTGGATATCCGGCATTTCAGGATTGTGGGTGCATCTTCACCCACAAAGAGATATAAAATTGTAAATCTGGGCGCCAGTACCGCATGAGGACGTCGCAATGGCTTACCATCGAGGGCGACTAGATCGTGATCGCCCTCGACGGTATGATCGTGGAAGGCGCCATCCACGGCGCCTTCGGCGCCCTGGATGGCGTCTTTCCAGAGGGCGCCTGCTAAATTTGGGAGGGGCTAAAGCCCGGTGTGCCCCTCCCCCCTTGGCTGCGCCCCTGAGTCCTTTGTCTAGCGATTTTCGAAACATGTATCGCGTCCGTAGGGGCCTTGGGAGCTGCCGGTGACCACAGGGGCCTTAAAAGGCCCCTGATGACTCGGGACCCGTAGGC